ATTTTTGCATCTATGTTCATTAAGGATATGGGTCTATAGTTTTCTCTTTTGGTTGTATCTTTACCAGGCTTTGGTATGAGAGTGATGCTGGCTTCATAGCTTTTATAATTGACTATCGGATTATGGTCTTCTCAGTCTGGTTGCAAACGCTTGCGTTGGCTCTGTCCCTTGGCGTGTCTGTAAAGAGCATTTTTGTTTTTATTGTTAAATTAGCTCTTGTGGGTGGTAATTCAGTTGCTGTGCGTTAGGTTCCTCAGAGTATATATCTTGTATATTTTTTAATTCTTTGAGTGTTATGTTCAGATAAGATGCCGACTTTCAGTTTTAAAAGGAACAGAGAATTAAGTATTCTGATAAAATGATATAATTCTGCTTTTAGGAATCTTTGTAGAATTGTTTACTAGATTTATTAACTGCACATTGCCGTTTCTTAATCTTAAACTTAAAAGCTCTAGAGATAAGATAGTTCTATAAAAGAAAACTTTGCTTTTCTTCAGGGCTTGTTCAATGCTTTTCCGCTTCTATCTTATGATACACACACACACACACACACACACAGACACACACACACCCCACACTTAGTTTTTTTTTTTAATTAAAATTTTATTTTATGCTTATGAGTGTATTGCCTGCATGTATGTAAGTGTACACTGCCCATGGAAGTCAGAAGAAGGTGTTGGGTCTTCTGGAACTGGAGTTATGGACGTTTGTTAGCCGCCATGTAGGTGCTTGGAACCAAACCCTGGTCCTCTGTAAGAGCAGCCAGTGCGCTTAACCCTGAGCCATCTCTCCAGCCCACACTTAGATTTTCTCTACTTTATCTTGTTTTGCTGCTTAGGGATATAAGGTGTGATGGGGTAGTGAACACCCTGGATCTGCTCATGTTGCTGCTTTACAGGCTCATTTATAATTTCTCAGGAAGGAGTTAGCAAACCCTGACACAAGTCTTGTTTGACAGTCATCTTTTAGGAGGGTGGGCTCCAGCTCTCACAAAAGCCTCTTCCTGTGTGTGAGCACTTCTTGTCAGGCATCAGTCCTGTCTCCTGTACTGCTTAGCAGTCTTATTTCCTTGAATTGGCCAGGTCGATAATGCAGGTTGTGAATACACTGTTTTTATGTCATGTTCCTCATGAAAATCTTTTTTTTTTTTTAAGAATACTGAATTTCAAGCTAAAGGTTTTAGAGCCAATATTTGTTATAAGTGGCCTTTTCTTTCTTGAAAGTTTTGTTTGAGGCAGGGTCTCCCTGTAGCCCCAGCTATCTTGCAACTTGCTATGTAGACCAGGCTGGCCTCGATCTCACAGAGATCTGCCTGTCCCTGCCTCCTGAGTGCTGGGATTAAAGACTTGTGATACCCAGCTGAGCTTTAAAAAATTTTAAATTTAGAAGTATTTTGAATATAGTAACAATCATAGATAATTTAATAAGCCTGCTCATGACTTGTGTATACATTTGAACTAAAGCAGATGGTGCCATTTTGCTGTGTTTGCTTCAGATAGTCTTTCTTACGAACAATTCTATCTCAAGTCCTCCCTCGATGTTTTCCCTGTTTCTTTCCTTTTAGAGCTAATTATCACACAGATAGATGGTATTCACGTATGTGCGTTTTGTCTTTGTTACACGTTTCTGCAACTGTCTTGATTTTAAATATTTTTTATTTAAAAAATTGAGTATAAGTATGCTAAACATGCCTTATGTTGTGTTTTCTGATTTCCCTAATTGGCATTCTTAATGTGATCATTTAAAAATTATTTTTGTCTGTTTTCTTGAGTTTTTTTTTTTTTTTTTTTTTTTTTTTTTTTTTTTTTTCCTATTGCTTGTTGTTTAATCTCCATGAGTTCATGTAGTGACTAGGCTTTGTCCAGTGTTGTGTATACTAGCTTTCTTCTTGTGGATATTTTCTTCATGAATTCTTGCTTGGGTATTCCTGTCACATGAGGGAGGTGAAATTGAATTCTGATGTTGTATTTAGTGTAAGCTTGGGCTTTAACTTTTGGCAGGAGATTACACTCCCATCTCTCACAGACCAGAGTTCCAGGCAGATTTGAGAGTCCTAAGAATCTCTTGGTCCTTGGTGAGGTGTTTCATGTCCTTTACTTGCTGGAGCAATCCCTTGAGTGTTCTGGTTCCTTGCTGGAGTCTATTCACATCTAACCCCTCCCCTCTAAGAGGTTATACCCAGCATATTAAATCTTGTTTGGAGTTCTTATCTTTCTTTTCCCTTGTCTAGTATTAACTTTCAGTCACCTTTCTATTCCTATTACTTGAGAATTTCCTTCTTTTTTTGTGAATTTAACTCTATATTTGTGGTAGTGAGCTAAAAGTTTTAGGTAGTCAAGTAAAAGGCACCTAAGAGCTACTTTTACTAAAAAGCATCAGTTGATGATGCTCCTCACTGGAGCTCAGAAAGTAACTGAAAGCCTGGCACCACCGCCTTCATTTTGTGTCTGTCTCCTTTATTCTGGGCCAGGCTCCTGCTTGGCTCTATGTAAGCATGTTAATTACTAAGGAGTGTTTGTCTACATAACCATCTCATTCCCTCTCAAGGCTGAAAGTACAAAGGTAAGTCATTGTTGTATATCTGTAGTCACCTTGGGTTTTAGAAGGAGCAAATCCTTACTGGACAGGCTATTCCCATGGTAGAACAATTATCTATTATAATCTGGAGCAGATCATCTCATAGGAACCAGATTAGTTCATTCCTGACAGATGAACAATTTATGGACTACCTCACAGGACCAGAGCTGAGACAGTGATGGGCATCTTGATCTTGTCCTTAATTATGCACCTCTTGCCTTCCTGCCCCAATTCTTCCTCTATTTAAATATAAAGCTCATATCAGTATCCCAAAAATGAACTCAAGGAGGTGGTGGTGGTGGTGGTGGTGGTGGTGGTGGTGGTTGGTGGTGGTGGTGTGTGTGTACCACTTTATTTGTTCCTTTTCTCAGTGTATTGATTAATTCTCCTCTCTCTGCTTTTCACCTTTACTCATCTTTTTAATTGACACATTGTGATGGTTGGTTGGGCCTGTCTTATTGGGGCTGTTGCAGCTGAAGTTCCCCTCTAAAGTCTGGGTACAATCATAGCAGGAAGGATTTGGTGTAAGCTCATTCTAGATATCTTCTCCATGGAAGGATATACATTTGGACCTTTGGACATATCACTGTATCTTCTGAAACATAGGATAGTATGTGGTCAGATTTCAGATGTCAGATTAGTAGTTTTTGACTTTAGGTTTCTTAAGATCTGCATAATGCTAAAACCAGTTGACATGCCAAGGTGGACAGGAGAAATTTCATGGGGTCCTACCTTAGGATTAAGAGCTACAGGCAGTCAGTGAATGCTGAAGGAGGGAGAATCCTTTTTTTTTCTGGGGACTAGCTCTTTGGGAGGTTATCTAAGCCCAAGTGGGCAGCCCTAATCAAAGATACATGTAAGCACCAATAAATGGACTCAGTACATTATATATATGTATATATACATATACATGTATATTTATAAAAATGTTTGTATATGTAACAGTAAAGAAGGGGACAAGAAATTGAGAGGGAGTCACGGGGCATGAGAGGAGTTGGAGGGGGACTGAGAGGGATGGAAATAATGCAAAGACATTACTCATGCATCAGATTTTTAAAAATGAAATAAAAAATTTATGTTCTAATGTAAAAAATACCTCTCTATAAATGTAGTATTTATCTACTTATGTCTGGTTTTCAGATTAGATCACAGCTAACTTGTTGTGTTGTGGTTTCAGCCCTGCACCGTTTTTGCTTCCAGATGGACTGGTTCGCTTGGTTAATAAACAGATAAACTGGCATTTGATACTTGCAACGTAAGTACATATAAAATTCATATAAAGCTTTTCTACCTGAATTTTCTTCTAAATTTCAGTGTAGACATGTATTTTGGGATCCTTATGGCTTTGTTGTTTGATTTATAAATTTATAAATTCCCTTTATTACATATGTATTACTTGAACATACTAATTTAAACTGTATTGAATCATTTGCTATGCTTTTGTACCTACAAATTCATTTAATTGTCAAGTCAAAAGGTAGATAATTAGAGGAAAAAAAAATTAAAATGATCTTAAGGCAAGTCTATATGCACTGAAGCTTCCTACTGATATTCACAGCAGATTTTCTTTTTCTCCCCGACCCCCCAACCCCATGAAAGAAATGGAAAGCTTTTGGCTGCTGTTCAAGATCAGTGTGTGGAGATCAGGTAATTGTTAATGTTACCCATATGTAAGATTTTTTTTTTTTGAGAAGAATGAATTCTTTATACAGTCTTTTTAGGGGGTGGTATATTTAAAGGGATTTTACTATTAAGTTACTTAATTTTTTAAAGTGTGAAACACTAATTTACAAGTGATGCTTTCTTAGAGTAGTTTGCTCATCTTTGTACTTCCATAATTAGTATGCTGGTTACTGAGGACTCTTACATTCTTGAGTAAATAAGAGTAATATTATAGAAGTCTGAAAATCACTGTTGTTTGACTGTTCCTGCTAAGTCCTCTAAACAAATAGATGCTCCAGAAGATGTTAAAAAGTAATAGGATAGCTTTGTTATGTTATGTATACCTATACCTTTGTTATGTTACAAAGGTATAGATCAAATATAGGTCTGTGAAAGACCACGGTTACATTATTACCAGAGACCTATCTGTGCAAGACATTCAGTAATATTCTATACTCATGTAAAATATTTCTCTAGGGGCTGGAGAGATGGCTCAGCACTTAAGAGCACTTAACTGTTCTTGCAGAGGACCTGGGTTTCAGTTCCTAGTACCCTCATCATAGCTCACAACTGCCTATAAATCCAGTTCCAGGGGATTTGATGTCTTCTCTGGCCTTCATGGTCTCTTGCATGTACAGGCTGCACATAAATTCATGTAGACACATAGACATACACACAAAAACAACAATAACAACATCAGCAGCAGCAACTAAAAACAAACTTCTCTAAGCTTGGCTTCCCAGGTGTTTATTTTACTTTCAAATGATTTATTGGTTGTGAGAGAAATAGCAATAATTACATCTCAGGATTAGTTGGTTTGTTATAAAATTTGCATCAGTGCACTAAATGTATGGCATTTCTAATATTTAGGGTCTTCCTTTTCTTAGGCAAGGCTCAATTCTTGGTTCTCAAGAATTAAGTGAAGAGGGCTTAACTGATGGCTCATTGGGTAAATTGCTTGCTGGAGTTTGTATTTCCAGAACACATGTGAAAAGGTGGGTGGGCACGGTGGCTCATCTGTAATCCCAGCTCCTGTGAGAGGTAGAAACAGGGTCTCCAGAATAAGATAGTTAGCCAGATTAGCTGAAACTATGAGTGTTGTTTTCAGCAAGATATGCAGCCCCCACGTGTAAGGTAGAACATGATAGAGGAAGATACTGTCAGTCTTGGGCCTCTATATGCATATACATGTAAACCCATACACGTGAACATGCCTACATACAGCCATGCACATGACACACATCAAAAAGTAAAGAGGAAGAAATTTGAAGGTAAACTTAGATACTAATTAAAATTTTTTTCTGCTGCTCCATTAATCTTGACTAAAATAGTTTCAGTGACTAGTTAGTTGGTATCATATTGGTGTTAGTTTTCTGCTTGTGATATATATGTATATATATTATATAGTGATATATATGTATATATATTATATAGTGATATA